CATCTGTTGATGAAAGTCTGGACTTTATTCAGTACTGTCTTCGTTGTCTTCCAAGTTTCGCAGCCGTAGAGGAGCACAGACCTGACGTTTGTGTCGTTTTATTAGGGATACAATAAAGCACATGCCTTTTCCTGGCCAAGTGGGTGGTTGGCTGGTACTCTGGCGTGGTTTGTTATGTCTTTCCCATCAAGCGCCCATCGTCCTCATTTATCCTCCTTTTTTTTAGTGTTTGTTACTCTCCCGTAACACCTCTAATCTTCGACATTTATATGACCTTGTTGTGTTGCAAATGTCGTAAAACTCTCACTAAAACAAACGTATCCTGGTCAAATTTACTCTCATATTATGATAACCACCTCCTAAACACCAGAACACTACATTTATTACACAATTATAATAGAATCAATGGAATAATCATGTCTTCACTCGTCACGTCGATTACAGTCTCTGCTGTTTCCTGTTCCTTAAGACCCAGCTGCAACCCCATTGTGATTCAACAGTGACTCCCAGATCTATGCACTAGACCAAGCAAGTTCGGAAATGTGAGGAAAAAGGTGGGGGGGGGGGGGACTTTACTCTAACACGATTAACGAGTCAGACTGGGAGACCAGATCAGCGATCATAATTAATGTGGTGCACGCACCGCTTTCATCTCGGTTGATCTATCATCATGGACGTCAGAAGGTACAATCAAGAGCTTAATTACTACCTCGAGGTTGCAGTGGTGCTACAGGCAGCCATGCTGGTGGTTTCTAAGTCGCCAAGGCCTTGATAGAACTGGTTTCAGCTTGCTTGGAACTAAAAGATTTTACTTTATGTTTCATAAAAAAACGTGGTAGTTGTGTTTTGTTATGTACCATAACTTTTACCTAGCAGAAATTTCGAAACAATTTTCATTAGGAAGTAGCTTTTGGGATCCCGTAGAGTGCACATTTGACCCCAAAATAACGTTAAGATCTACTACTGCCTTTATTCCAAAGGGCGCACTGTTATACCGATGTTAAGAATCTGCATATTCAATTCTAGAAACTACGCGCTGTCGCTTAAGATCTCGACTTTTCCAAATTATGGGTGTCGTCGAGTTCCATGAAGACTACATACACAGCGGTACTGATGAACAATTTAAGCGAATTGGCCCAAAATTTTGAGTGCCACAAAGTTATGAGTCAATTCAAAACGCGGTATACATTTCCAGACTTGTATATTCTCTTTTGCCCTGAAGGGAACGTCTTGTAACTACACCTCCCGTCCCCCGCAAACAAACAAACAAACAAACAAACAAACAAAATCAACAACAACAAAATCAACAACAACAAAATCAACAACAAACGAACCAACAAAAACAAACAAACAAACACAAGAAAAAAACAAAATACTCCCCCCCCCCTAAAAAAAGCACATTACAACGTTACAGGGAATTAGATTGTTGGTTAAATTGGACTATAAAGTAAATTGTTGTTTACGATATGTGCGCATGCGTAGACCGCTCTAAATGTTGTATGAGTTCACCAAGCTTTATTTGTCACAGTTTATCTCATCTCGAAATCACACATTTGCTTTTCATTAAAAATGTATCTACCGGCACTCCTTTTAACTGATCACCTCTCTTAACACGAGGAAACCTACTCATTTCAGTTGTGATATGCCTACGAAAATAATAGATCTAATTGTTGTCTGTATGTATGAACAACGAAGTATGTCACAAGAAACAGCAGCAGGTTGCATTATTGATGGGATGCTAAGTTTAGAACTGGCTGCAGGTTAACATGTAGAATATTTTAGAGTACAGTCGAACAAGCTCTAATTTGAACAAAAGTTCATAAGTACCATCTCTAATCTAAACAATAGTTCATTTTAACATTCACTAATTTGAACAATAAAACCTTAGAAAATGCTCTCATTTGAACATTAGATTTTTAGAACCATGTCTAGTTTGAACAACAGTTAATTGAAACTACCAACTCTAATTCGAACAATAGTTCATTAGAACCAGCCATAATTGGAACAATCGTCTATAAGAACATAATCTAATTTGAACAATAGTTCATTCGAACATACTCCATCTGGAACAATATCAATTAGAACATACTCTAATTTGAACAATACATCATTAGAACCATCTTTACTGCCATCTGTCTATGACGATCAATAATAAAAAAGACCATATCCCATTTCTCCCGTCGAGTTTTTACTATGTTATAATGACACTATACCAGACGTCCACCTGTCTTAGACAACCACTCTTCTACTCGACAATGGGTGATTGTCTTGGACAATTTCCACAGTGTTTGATAC